AATTGTACTCAAAGGTAGGCAAATGTCTGTAAAACCAATTATGAAAGTGAAGCAAAGTTGTTGCCCTAGCGAATAAACTATTGTTAGCGTATCCACGAGCTGCATTTGTTAAATGCAGTAACGCCATGACCAACATAAAACACCTACGCTCCTCAATATCAACGGCATCATTGAGATACTTCATGTAAATCGATCAAATTCTGCAGATGACGTGTCAGGGTTGAAGAAATACGGAAAAGGAAGTAAATTGTCGGAGAAAAGCTCATGCTGTTATTGATGCAAGCGGGTCCTTTGATTCTAGGGTTAGCGGTACGAAAGACAAACAGCAAATTAATTATTTAACACAGACTTAGGTCTTCATTGATGATTTTTCGATGATGACTCACGTCAAGTAAGTGGAAACAAAGCATCTGTGTTAAATAGGGAATCTGCTTTCTTCTCTTTTATGTTGATAACCATTAAATTAAATAATGTGTCTTCCTCAGGCATCCACAGCATGGTATTGGTATGAGTTTAAAACAACTGTTTAGAAATTCGCTATCGTCACTCAGAGTAAAATTCAGTTGTGTGAGACTGCGGTGCCATTACAACGAAGTATATCGTATGTATTTTCAGCACCTAATGTCTTAATCATTTCCAACCTGCTTATCGAAAAATTGGCCACCGTGCCATCGTCTTGTTTAGGTCTCGATTTTCATAATGCCAATCATATACAGACAACGTTATTGTTATTTCTAACACATTGACATTCTGCCAGATATTCTTTAAGTCGATATGGTATCCCTTTTTAACACTAGACGTCACTAAGTGGTTGAAGTTAGCGAATTAAAGTCTTATCAGACCACCCTTCATCCTTTAAATTAGATGAAGTAGTACCCTTATGTGAGAAGAAATTTGAAAACTATACCCTTTAATGACCATTAATGTGTACATATTGTCCTTAAAACAAATCACTGTACTGTTGACTGATGGCGTCAGAAGTCACATCGGCACCGCTTCACAAATTATGAATGCATAGTGCTTCAGATTTCACCTATCCATCGAAGTATATGGGAAGTCGACTCGGTGCTATCTTTACTTTCCACTGTCATTTGAGTATCAGCTCCAGTTACTTCCGTGGTGTTGCATATCGCTAAAGTTTTTTTTCCAGCTGTTCTATTTCCTACTAGCCTACGCATGCTTTTTGGAAAAAAACTGTTAGTACCGTATTATATCGATTTCGATTAACACATTAGATATTCGAAATGCGTGAGGGAAATTGGAAAATATCAAAATTCATTTTTTCAAATCAGATCATGTGCTTCATTAATCGAATCTTCATGCTTCAGGCACTACCATATTGCATTGATGCGAACTGAACTGATGGCTCTTGTCCAGTTGATTGAATCTCTAATGAACTGCCGACAGATGTTTTATGACAGCGTTATGTCCTCAGAGCGTGATAATTTCAAAGTAGCATTATTCTGACAGGTTGCTGTTCGACTGCTGGTCGTCCAATCGTTAGGCGTTGGCGTCAGTACAAGTGACGCTCGCTCCGATAGCATATCAGAAGCTGAACCACAAACATGTTTCACTTTCGGTCCTCTGCTGACAGACTGCTCCGTTCAATACAGATACCGACCATGCCAAGTTTTACAGACCAGCATGCTTATATTCACTCTCCTTAATGATAAAGATTCTTGATTTGTGTACGACCCACCTTCAACTGTTCGTATTTGCGAACGTCTGTTTACAGTTCTATTAATCTTTGACTTAATTTTGATTACAGCCCCAGAAAAACATTTAAGCATCCAGCAGTGGAACAGGTTTATCCGGATCATAAGCCCTTGGCTAACGTTTTCTGCTGTGGCTAGCTTTTGTAGATGAAATGGATTAAAAACGCTGATAAGGGTTGATCAAGCGGATTAATGGTTCCGCAACATATGTTTTGTATATGGAGATCATCCTGAAGACTAAAAGTTTCCAAGTGGATCGAAGCACTGGTTTTCAATTAAAGCGTACAAATATTTTATGTAAATATATTTAAACAGTTTAGTTTGGATTCAGGGAGTGCGAGTCGCTGCTGAGTACGGAGCAAAATCTCTAACGATCTGGCATCTCATGGTGGCGAGCCATCAGTGTGTAGGGTCGAATCTCCTGTAGCTGTTTTGTATTTTTTGGATGAGTTTTGTTTTGATGGCAGGATTGTGGCTATTCTTGATGCATATGGAATGTTTTGGGTATGCTGTTGAAAGACTTGAAAATTAAACATAATTTTTTATGTGATACATTAGTCCATAATCTCCCTGTTTCCTACGTGATTGCTGCTCATAGAGAAAATTTATTACAGAAATTGTCTACATTTCGAAACAACATATCTTAACAACGAACCAGGTGTGGCTCAAAACGCTGGTAATTTCTGTAATAAAATTTATATGTGAAGCAGACCCTAATATTCCACGCAAACATGTTCCACTTTTTCCGACTGATACGAGAAATGTTCAAAATGCACCAAGAAAATTTGTTCCTTCACCAAAACAGAGCTCTTCATCCATAAAATGGAAGGAAAGGTTTGACTACACTAGGTTTGACCCTATCAACAAGTGGCTCACCATCCTCAGATGCAGGATCGTTGCCCGAATGGTGCTCCGGATTCAATTTTAAAAATAATAAAATTTAATATTTGTCAACTTTAATCGAATGCCAGTATCTGAATTCTCTTGAAAACTTTCTTAAGAATACCTACTACTTTGAAGAGTATTACGGGCACATTAAAAAATTGCTTTAGCCATTAGCAGTTTTCGATTCTTTACGTTGTGTCATTATTATTTTACCATAATGTTTCGAACATGTAAATCATAGGGAACTGTTTAGGATCTGGCTGCTCGAAACGTCTTGGTCGATACCGAAATGCAGTGTAAAATAGCCGATTTTGGACTGTCCCGAGGACTGGAAGGTTCGTCGGAGCAAACGTATACAACCAAGGTTTGTGAAGGATAGAACATGCACACATTCATTGTCTGACGCGAAATTTTTCAGGGCGGAAAAATCCCTGTTCGATGGACCGCTCCCGAGGCAATAGCCTATAGACAGTTTACATCGGCATCCGACGTTTGGTCGTACGGCGTGGTGATGTGGGAGGTGCTGTCGTATGGCGAGCGACCATATTGGGATTGGACGAACCAGGAAGTGATACAGGCAGTGGAAAGCGGCTACCGTC